AGTGAGTGTAAATTGAGATAGCGGAGAGAAATGAGTTTAACAGAGGCATACTATCTGAAAATGTTGGCAAGTACTAGATAATAAAATGAGGCATGTCCAGAGATAGAAGTCAGTGAAGGTGAGTGGATACTGATTTCCAGAGAAGATTCCAACATGCTCTCTATTAGCAACTAAGAGAAAGTAGTCAAATGTGGTAATTCAGAAGACTTCTGTTCTCTTGACTAGCTGTCGATTAGCTTGACTGGAACATTCCGAGGTAATCTGATTTGATTAGGGTGAAAACGTCCGTCGAATGACGAATATATTATTAGAGCATAGTATGATCCTTGCAATCAAATTAAAGCCAACGAGTGAAGAAAACTCATCAGCATTCATCTCTAAAAACCTGTAAGTATACTCGATGCCTGACCTCATAGATGGGGTATAAAGTAGTTTGGTTAGTTCCAGTCATATATCAACCTCGGAGCATGTGAATGTGTCTGTCTCTGTATGTGTATGTGTTTGTGTCTATCCGCATATGTACTAAACAAACAGTGATGACTGAAAGTGAGCGTGACTACAAAGGTAACGTCTGCTTTCGGCCATCAAGGTTTTATGACCACGATCACCACATATCTTCATATATTTTAACCATCACTCCGATTGCGCTAGAGCGGACATACGTCTGGTTATACTGATGAGCTTTTGTTGTCTTCATTTGAGAGAGAGTGGGCTAAAAGTACAGAGAAGTAAGGAACGCCGGCAAGAAATTAAGTAAAAACTACTTGTGTTTATTTTTCGTATATAAGTAGGGTTTAGTGATTACCAGCAAATTAGTTATATGAGATGTATTCACCCGATTTCGTTTAAGGTGCTGAAGGACAATCCCACCAAATAAAGTGATATGGGATGAGGCCTGGCCTTCCTTAAAATTCACATCTTCCCTGTGATAAAAGGGCAGTCGTGGCAATGTGGCTGAATGGTTAACGTGTCAAGTTCACACACTGCGCTGTCACGGTTTGACTCCCGCTGGGGGTGTTGATAAGACCTATGCGAGGTCGAAACTACAGTCCATTCCATCCGGGATGGGAACAACTTTTGGAAATTTAGGATATGTGAAATTCAATGAAAACATCAGCTCTATTAATATGATTGTGGGAAAATTCTACTACCAATCCTTCATCACCTTAAACGAAATAGAGTGAATACATCTCATACTTGTGCTTAATTAATAAATATGAAGAGAAACTGGGTTTCGATTAAGCCCTTGAGATAAAATTGTTGGAGGGACTTACATTTCGTATGAAAGTGCATGAAGAAGAGATTCGAAGGTCGATCTCACCAGAAGAGGACGGTTTAATCCCACTTTACAGCAGGCGTTTGGCTTTTATACGACCTTAGAGAGTGATGCAGTCCACGAGACCTGCTCCCTCTTTTTAGGTGAGAACGGGCTGAGCTCTCGTTCATCATTTGATGGAGATTATCAGAGCTGGGACTCATTCTTGTAAAATTCCCAAGTTAAGCCGAAGACCAGAATACCATCCGACTCTATCTTACCTCTTATATAGTTTCATTTAAGCCAAAAGTGAATTTAAAAACATAGATCAATATAGAATGTTTTTCATAATTATCTTTATTCTGGTCACCCTCTTTTGTATAGCGGTTCAACATCTCTTTACTATTAATCTATCAATCAATCATAAGTAGTTCCTACTTGACTTTCCACCACTGTTCTTTATATTCAACAAATTGTTGATTAGATATGTGGATGACTATTTTGTCATCTGGCCTTATGGTAAGTGAAGTTTGGCTAGTTTCCTACTTTCCCCAAACGAGCATGAAATGTAAATTAGGTTCACAATGGAAATATAAGAGAATAATTCCTTACCCTTTCTGGATGTTCTCATCATTAGATAAGAAGGTAAGTTAAGAAAGGATGTTTATAGGAAGCCAACCTATGTTGGCCCTTTGATTAATTTTATTTAAAACCATAGTTACAAAAATAAGGCTGGAATTGTGAAGTAAATGATTATTACGAGTATGAGGCTAGCGGATAGCATAAATTTGACTAAAGATTTTGAACGGCTGACAAACGTATTGCTGGAAAATAATTATCCTTTGGAAATAATATCTCTTTACTGAGGAGTACATTTTCAGACGGAGACTATTGAGTCAAAGATAGACAGACTGAAACCTTTACCATGTCCTAATTTTACCATAATCTCTTCTTTCAAAAAAGATGGGCGAAATAATGAGCAAGTGGAGGATAAAAATAGTGTTTAAAGAAACCCTCACACTTTCTTCTGTTATATCATCTTTAAGGTGAAATATGACCCATTTTCGAGATCCAGCTGCCACAAGATTATTGGCTCATGTGGTCGATGTCATGTTGGTGAGACATGCCGACCTATTCGACAAAGATTGTGACAACACAAAAATTCTTGTAAAGGAAGCTGGGTTCAACGGCTAGAAGTGGTTGAACACATGGTAGCAAGTGGACATGAGATAAAATTGACTCAAACAAATAGGTTTGCTGTGGTAAAAAGAAAGATGAGAGACTATTGAAATTAATAGATTAGGAAATACGTTGAATGTGAAGAACAGTGCTAGAAAGTGAAGTAGGAACTACTTACGCTTGACTAATAGATTGAAAGTAGAGAGGTGTTGAATCAGAATAAAGATAATTAACAAAACCATTTTATATCAATCTATGTTTTTAAATTCTCTTTTGCCTAAATGAGACTATATAAGAAGTAAGATGGAACCAGATAGTCTTCTCAGTCTAGTGCTAACGTGAGACTTTTACAGAAATGAGACCCAAATCTGATGATGTCCATCATATGATGGACGAAAGCTCAGCCCGTTTTCACCTGAAAAGAGGGAGGACGTCTCGTGGACTGCATCGACCTCAACGTCGTATAAAAGCCAAATGACTGCGGTACAACGGGATTCAACCGTCCTCCTCTGCTGAGATCGATCTTCGAATCTCTTCTTTATACAT